TTGATTATCACAAAGATAATAACCAGATAATCTCAAAAAGAGAAAGATGAAAAATCACAGAGGCAGAAAGCCCTTGAAGGTTTTAGAAATAGACGACTCACAGGAAGAGAAGAAAAATGACGATTCAATCTCTAGGTCAAAACAAAGGTTATAGTTAAAACCATCAACCATTGATCAATAGGTTAATCCAATGGCTCTAGAGCGACTAAGAATGGAATGAATTATTGGGCTTGGTCAAGTGGGCCATCTCATTCCATATTGAGCCTTTTTTTTTTTATCATCATAGCCTATGTTGGACTGAATCTTGGCATCACAGCCCAACAATAGAGATAGGTCTCAGTAGATTTTTCGGGCGTAAATGGCGTACCAACATTAGAGCTCAGCTGGCTTATCAAATTTCCAACATAGGCTTTTGCATTGTCTATGCTTGGGATGACATCATTAGTTTCCCATGCGTTAACTTCAAAATCGAAGTTAAAAAATTTCTTTCACCCAATCAGGATTTTGGCTTCGTAACTAAAAACATGGGTTGACGTGAAATTGGCCATCTGAAAAGAGTAATTGGCCATCTGAAAAGAGTGTATATACAATTTTTTTCTCTCTCTCTCATATGCTTTGAATTCATATATGATGAAGCTAAGAGGATAATTAGTCATTTTCTCTTTAACTACAATTGGCGATCGTTATTAATGAATTTCTAGTTGAATCTGTTACACTTTCACTTTTTATTTATCATGCCTCATGTTGTTTACCCATTGATTGAAATGTCACTTTAAAGAGGTTTAGCATTCTTATTCATGTATTTTTCAATAAAGATTTCGCTGATGTGGAATAGGTTATGGAAAGAAATAGACATATTTTTGCTTGTTTAGAAATTTGTGTTCGCATGCCTTGTGCACTCAACTGTTCATAATCAAGATCGGTTTAAACCATTTGTACATAAAATGGGCTTCACAAAATTGCTACAGACACTCACATGGAGCCCACCCCATGTGGATAAAATATTGTCTATAAGAACGACCCACCCCTTATTGTGTTTATTCTGAAGCACTTCTATGGGCCCATTTTTTGTACACATAGTATGCTTCATCAAGATCAAACTTATGATTTCGCATTAAAAACACTCGCTAACAATGGCCTAGGTTCATACTTGGTTTGATAATTTTATTTATTTATTTATTTTTCAACTTCGAAATGTTCATCAATAGTGGCATAGTTTCACATAGACGAGCTCGTAACGGTCAAAATTCTTGTCACTGACTCTTATAATTGATAATGGCTGTAAGGTGACCTTGTTTGAGCAACAACAATTAATTTTTTTAACTTAGAAATGTTCATCAACAATGGCATAGGTTCACACAGAAGAGCACGTAACGGTTAAAATTACTGTCAGCGACTCTTAAAATTAATTGATAATTGCCGTTAGGTCACCCCCTTTGAGCAACAACAATCTCAATACCCTTAAATCCTTGAATCGCAAAATTTTCACACCAGAATATTATATTAGCGTTATAAATAAAGTAAGTTGAGTAGTTAAACGTAAGAAACTGAGATTGAAATAGAATATGCTTTATCTATTAGCAATAAGAAATATATTTCAATATGGATTCACATTAATGGGTTTCAATATCATCCATCAACTCTCATCATGAATATAGGGTTTTCCCAATTCATGAACAGTCGAAGGACAATATACAGTGAGCTCTAATTGGTTTATGATTCATATAGGTGCCTATAAGCACATTGAGGTATCCGTGAGACCAAGAGTCGTCACAGCACTTGCGCAATGCCACAGTTATCTGTTGGAAATTGGTACAGAAAATTGACCAATTTTTAATTAATTATTTAATTGAAAATCGTTGGTGAATGAGAAATTAAGGCCAAATCTTAACTACTTATTATATGAAATTGTTGGAAAATTATGTATATTACAAAATAGTCTAGAACCTATTTGGATGAAAAGTGGTTTCCTTTTGGAGATGATAATTTTTCAAAAGTCACATCTGATATATCTTCTTAGACATGCCTTTTAATTATGTCTTTTGAGAAACAACTTTTGGATCATTATATATAAATCTCATATGTTTAGAATTTTATTTCATTTAATTCATCCTTACATTGTCATGTTGATGCATATTCATTTCAAAATAATTTTAGCATTTATTTTGAATCAATTTTCATATAAAGAGAATTCAAAATATATATATGTGAATTCACTAGTCTACGTAATTTAGAGCGCTCTTATTGCAAAATGTGATCGTTCTATCTTGAGAGATGAATCTCAGAAATTTGTTAGCACCCGTACGGTGCATTATATTTATGTGAAGAATTTAACTCTTACTTCGACCAAATTCATATTCGTAAAATTCTCATTTTTACTTTACATAATCTTTTCTAACGAGTCTAGTTTTTTCAAAATTAAATTTGCTTCTCAAACTTTTAATTAATTATGGCCATCAATCATGCAAAATGACTAACTGCCCTATAATAAAATTTCTTCTAGGTAATATGGAGAAGAAGACTAGAGTGTCTAGATAAATTAGTCTCGTCAACTTTGCCTTCTTTGATGAGAATATTTAGATGGTTCAACATTATGTAAAAACAGAAAGGGAAAATTTCATAAGTAAGGGATTAAGTATGACATATTTCAAAATTAAGAAAACAAGTTTCAAACTTCAAAAATAAGATTTTTATTAAAATGCATTTATGATTTAATTAATTAATTAATTAAATATATTTAGGTCACATACCTATACAATTTGGTCACAAATTAACAATTTAATTAGTCACTTATTATTTTTTGGTCGCAAATCAAAAATTTTATGTCACATTATTTTACGATCACAATTCAAAAATTTTATAGGTCACAGTTTGTTCATTGATCACAAATAAAAAAATTAATTAGTCATGGATTAATCTTTAGTCACAACTTATCAAATTATTGGTCACAACTTATTTTTCGATCACAGATCGAAAATTTTATAGATCACATATTATTTTTAGGTCATGAATAAAAAAATTTATAAGTCACATATCACTAATATTATAGGCCACAACTTATTAGACAGTCACAAATTATTAATTTCTGAGGTCACACATTATTTTTTGATCACAATTTATCTTTTTCACTGGTTACAGATTAACCAATTTAATGATCACAATCAAACAAATAATCTGTGACCACCACCACCACTTGCTGACAACCACTGCCTCCACCTGCACCACCGTACTGCTGGCAGCACCACCACCACCCGATAGCAATACCGCAGTTTCAAACAAATCAAAACATCCATCTCGAACAAACCATCGCCACTAACATCTCATCTGACATCTTATCGCCACGCCCACCATTCTCTGCCGCCATGACCACTGCCATCTATTGCCACAACCACTACACGGCGCCCCACCACCAAAACCACCACCACACCATATCCAACGTAACCTCCGCCACGTAGGATCCGACAAAGCCCCCGCCACCCAAACACCACCACCACTACAGCCCCCGTCCACCAACTAAAAGCAAACCCAAAACCCCACCAAATCGCGGAGCTGCAGATTCCGGCCAAAGTCCACAACAGATCTCGACCACGACAGCGTAGTAGTCTAACTTGTGAGCTTCGAGTCGCACCGTCAAAGGTTACCACATTCTCACCAACATCATGGTTAGCACCACGATCACCGCCTATACTAAGAATCACCATCACCATTTCCATCTCCGTGCCACACCAAATCAACTGAAAAAATCCCCAATCTCAGTGTCATGGCCGCCGCCACACCACCACCAAAAAATCGTGGCTACAATGCGGGCGATAGGTGCACTACCGTCGCGGAGAGTCAACGGCACCTGGGGGATGACACCGACGGAGAAGTTGAATGAAAAGAGATAGACTCCGGTGGTTCTACACACGATCGTCGCTGTCAGAGATCATGTACAGTGCTGCTGCTGCCGCCGCTACAAGGTGTCGTTTGGTCGGGTCCAGAGTCGCCGGAGAGAGAAGAGGGTGTGACGCCGGGTAGAGAGGCTGTGAAGAGAGGAGGAGAGGAGAAAGTCATTAGGGTTTTGAAATGAAATTTATATAATTAATATTTAATATTTAAATATAAAATTGTCTGAAATAATTAATATAAATTTTTTTTTCTAATTTTTGAAATATTAAAGTTCCAATCTGTTTCAGGAATGTTGAATAATTAAAGTATGAGATTGTGTAATTTCCACAAAAAAAAAAGTGAAAGTGTTTAACTGGGCTTCGTATTCTCGTCAATGTTTAATAGTTTGACTAAAATGTCTTGAATATTCAACATTTGTGCAAAGAGGATACAAAGATAATACTTTTAAAGAGAGGATAAAACATTTGCTGAAATTTTTTTAAAATAGACATTATTAAGAGAATGAAAAATGGTGGACAAATTTCATTTTTCCTCTCTAAAAGTGATCTTCCCATCTAATTTTCTCGTTTTCAAACGTGTTTTTCTTCAACATTATATTGATATATTAGCAAAATTATAACCTGGCATACGACAAGAGTATATAAAGAAAGTTAACATAAGTAGACAAATTATATAAAACTATATTTACAATTAATTAACATGAATAATATGTTTTTTTTTTCCAAAATAATAAAATTAAAAAGAAAGAACACAGTCTCTTAATCTGTTTAATATTGTAACGCACGAATCTAATATTTATAATTTACGGTTAGTGAATAAACATGAAATGAGTATTTGCATAATCCAAATTCAATTTCTCAGTCAAATAATATGTTTCTATATCATTTAGTACAAGGGAAAATTTCAATAGTAGTTTCCGAAGAGAACTTTGCATCATGTAAATTTATTTCTCAAAAAGTATATCCTAAGCCTAAATCTTGTCACCAAGTATTATAAATATGGTGTAAGTATTAAACTTTATTTAAAAATGAGTATGGTCCAAGTGANCCTAGGTTTAAGATTACGGTTGGACAGGCTTGTGTATAAATATGGTTGTCTTTGGGGTGCTGTACAAACCATCCACAAGTCACAAAAAACAATTATTTTCGTTTTCCAACTTATTCTTAACCTAAAGCAGATAGCCATACAGATGGCTGCAAATGTGCAAACATCTTCTCTACTCTTCCTGGTTTTCCTTTTACTACAAAACTTTTACTCCGCAAGTAAGCTCATTTATTTTGTAATTCAATGCTGCTCTTGTCCGAAATCTCTTGTTTGAGTTTTTTGCTGATGCTATTTGTACTTCATTATTTACAAACAGATGATATTGAAGAGAGAGAAATATAAAAAAAGAGACGAAAAGAAAAGAAATGCAATTATTATAATTGTTCTCTCTCTTCCATATCATCTATTGTAAACTGTTATGTACAATGATGTACAAATAGCATTACTCTCTTTTTTATTTTCCCCCTAATTTTACATCCATTTTCTTCGTTTTTAAGTAAAGATTGTTTAGACTGTGTATCAAAGCACGCTTTTTTTACGACCCTCAATTCTATTGATTTTTTCTTTCCTCTCTCTAAAATTGTACCACTAATTTTCTTGGTTTTCAAATACGCATACAGCATATTTAGCCATGATTTAAAGCCTTTTTTTCTTTTTTATGCAAACGTGAGACATGAAAGTGGCCTTCCGGCGGCTGTACGATAAATCATAAAAAATATGTGAATTTCTCATACTATTACTAAAATTCTGGGAAAACTTTTTCACTGGACTCTACACCTGACTGACTGAAAGCAAATAACAGATTAATATTATCTTTATCTGATGAGTTAACTTCGGGTTAACTTCTTTTCTTTTTATATTTCATAGATTCACAATCATTTTTGGGAGTAAATTATGGGCAATTAAGCGACAACCTCCCTTCGCTTCAGGCGACGGTGAACCTTTTGAAGTCCACAACCATCCAAAAGGTTAGGCTCTTCGGTGCTGAGCCAGCAGTCATTAAAGCGTTTGCAAACACCGGCGTTGAAATTGTGATAGGATTCGACAATGGCGATATTCCAACGTTAGCTTCCAACCCAAATGTAGCAAGTCAGTTTGTGAAATCCAATGTGATGTCTTTCTATCCGGCGAGCAATATTATAGCCATCACCGTTGGTAATGAGGTATTGACATCAGGAGATCAAAAGCTCATCTCTCAACTCTTGCCAGCAATGCAAAATGTCCAAAATGCCCTGAATGCCGGTAAATTATTTCTCAATATCTATAAGCTGGTAAAACTTCTGTAGAAGATAACATTGTTTCATTGTGGACATTTTGGACGACATCCCATTAGATGTAAAATCGAGGCAATTGATTTAAATAAATGTTGGAAAAATCAATGGCAAAATTGATTGTCGCATCATGGAATGTCTTTCAAGATGTCAACCAGGATGTGAGTGTAACAAAACTGTTCTATTTATAATGTGACTTGCAGCTTCATTGGGTGGGAAAGTTAAGGTCTCGACGGTACATGCAATGGCTGTGTTAAGTCAGTCATATCCTCCCTCATCAGGAGTTTTCAACCCTGGATTAGGTGACACAATGAAGGCATTGCTTCAATTCCAGAGTGCAAATGATGCACCTTTTATGATCAGTCCATACCCTTACTTCGCATACAAAAACCAGCCAACGCCCGATACATTGGCATTCTGCCTTTTCCAACCTAATGCTGGGCAAGTCGACTCTGGAAATGGTCACAAGTACACGAATATGTTCGATGCACAGGTAAAGTATTGAGCTAATAGTTTTTGAAACTGGTATTCAAACGAAATTTGGTAGTCACTGAGGTTCGCGTCACTATTTGCTCAAATTGTGGTTATAAGAAAGAAAAATGGCATTTCTCTCGCTTTTGACATTTGTTTGGAAAGCTAATATTGTCACATGGTCTCCAAGGTTGATGCTGTGCACTCTGCCTTAAATGCAATGGGATTCAAGGATATTGAGATCGTAGTTGCTGAGACTGGGTGGCCTCACGGAGGAGACTCCAATGAAGTTGGCCCAAGCTTGGACAATGCAAAAGCCTATGTTGGAAACTTGATAAACCACCTCAAATCAAAAGTTGGCACCCCACTTATGCCTGGAAAATCAATTGACACCTACCTCTTTTCACTTTATGACGAGGATAAGAAAACCGGGGCAAGCTCAGAGAAATATTTTGGACTTTTCAAGCCAGATGGTTCGACGACTTATGATGTCGGTCTCCTAAAGAACACACAGGTGAGGCAATACATTCATCCATCCAACCATCCATTCATCATATGTTTCTTTACCTAAACTTTGACGAATAAAACCTTTATTCTCATGTAGAATCCAACAACTCCAGCAACACCAACCCCAACACCAAAAGCAGCAGGATCTTGGTGTGTACCCAAACCTGGAGTCTCTGATGATCAGTTGACGGGAAATATTAACTATGCCTGTAGCCAGGGGATTGATTGCGGGCCAATTCAGCCAGGAGGTGCCTGTTTTGAACCAAACACTGTCAAAGCACACGCTGCTTATGTGATGAATCTTTACTATCAACATGCGGGAAGGAATTCATGGAACTGTGACTTCTCGCAGACAGCCACTCTCACTAATACTAATCCTAGTAAGTCCTGATTCACACCAGCTTATACCACGAAATATATATATGTTCAAAAAGACATTTGTTTGATAATTTATTATTTTTTATTCTTATGGTTTATCATTGCTGTAGGTTACGGAGCTTGCAATTTTCCCAGTGGCAGTAACTGAAAGGATGAGGAAATTTTTGATTGCTAAATAATTAGTAGAGATGTAGTAGTTTCCGAAGTGGTTCTGAAACATAAGGCCCAATATTAGTTTTTATGTAAGCTAATAATGAATTTTCAATTGTATTCATGACACTTTATTGAATAAAGGATATTTTTTGTATTTTCTTTTTATTTAGATTTGATGATGAATCTGCCCTTTGGTTGATTGTACAAACTCTTTTCACCACCAACCCCTAGAAGTGTCAAGTGGGGCGAGTCGCTTTTCGAAGCGGCTCATGCATGAGACAAGCAACAGGACAAACAGAGCAACATTTTTTTGACTCGCACGAGTTGGCTCACTCTCAAGCTCGTCAGCTCACTACTCGACTAGTAGTCGGCTCTATTGGAATGTAAAAGCGGAATTATTCAGAAATTAAAAATTTCCTTAATTCAATAAGTAGGATCGTCTAGATGTCCATGTGTATGTCATAACAAAATTAAAGGATTTGAATCTTTTACCTAAATTCGATAATCAACCTTTGAATTGATTCTGAACCACGAACTTCCGGCCCTTTTTAATGGTAAAAATCTTAGTGCTTCAAAACTTCAAGCTTTCAATGGTATTCTCCAACGCAAAGTCTACACTGGCTTGTAGGCACCTTCTTTTAATTAATTTAAGAAACTAATTTTTGAATTTGACAATTGGAAAGCAAGAAAATAAATATTCTCTCTCTCTCTCTAAATTTGGATTCTATGAAATTATGGTCACTATTTATAGAGAAAAAGATGATACAATTTCAGTACAATATATAATTTTACATTCAAACAAGTTCTAATTAAAATTCAATTAGGAGTTTTAATTTAAGTCCAATTCCAATTAGTTTACATTTAATTATATGTGTAGTTCTAGAACTTTAATTACAATTATAATTAAATTTACAACTTCCATAATAGTTACAACTAAGTACAAAACTTTATTGTAATTATAATTAAGTCCAAAACTAATATTGTTGTCATAATTATGTTTCAATACTTAATGGAGCTACCACAAGGACCTGATCGGACATATATTATCCAAGCTCCAATAATTAGATAATGTCTAGTCGACCCTAGACAACCCAATCTAATTATTAGTCTTTGCTATTTCCACTAAAGGCAAAAAATTGAACTCTTGGAATATATAAAATTACAGAAGCCAATTAATCTGTAATACTTTTCTTTGACTTGTCGTATATGTATTTCATCCCCATCCGAGATCCAATAATTAGGTACGAACATAAATGACCGTTTTACCCCTCTAATTATTCCCACTAACTTAAGTATCATTTTCTTCAACGGTCTTGTGAACTAATCACAAATGTCAAAATTTAGCCGTCGCTAAACACTGAACTCAGATTTTAACCGTTCAATAGAAAATATTTAAGTAGTCACCCTACCCATTTTCAGGGTGACGGTTCCCAACACAAATTCATATTCTCTACTTCGCTCATTCTCAAGTTCTCAACTCATCGAAATATTTGACCAATCAAATTGATATCACTCATTGATGAATCAAAAAATTATTAAAATCAAGAAAAGATATACATAATCTTGTTAAGGGATTCAGATGAAATATACAAAGGTCAAGTGGAATTTAATTTTTCGCACGACCAAGCTATGAAATTTAATTCGACACGCGGTCCGCTCAATACATTCCAAGTGTACTAGTGTCACCTTTAAATATTTCTATGATAAGCACAAATCACAAATTCGACTAATGAATTGATCAACACTACAACCTTCCAATATAAGGTGTTAGCAATTATACATAGATTATGAACAAATTATTTATGATCAAAATATAAGTTGTGTCACACTATACTTATCAACGCAAGTACTCAACTCATATTATCACAAATGATCACAAGCACTTTAATTTCACACGCTCAATAATAAATAAATACAATAAATAAAGTAAACAAAATTTTATTCATTATAAAAATATTATTATTTTTACATCAGACTATATGAGCACACAACCCAATAGGCTCATGCTTAGCTTGTGAACTAGTAGCCATGCCTAGCTACGCAGTCCGCAATTCTACATTGCTTTTGCAACGATGCGCATTGTGTTGATGGCACCCTACATCATACAGAATGCCATAAAATTTGAAATAAAAATAAAAATTTCCTCTTTTTTTTTTTTGGTCTATAAATAGGGAATATGTAAACAAATTTCATCGTATTTCTCTTTAAAAGCGTAACTCTCCTAATTGTTTGATTGGATTTTTGTAATTCTTAATTTGTTTGGAGTTAGTATTATTACGCATAGTTCGAAAAAAAGCGGTCACCGTGTAATTATTATTTCTTTTTGTAATACCAGTTTTCCACCAGTGCAATGCACGGGTTATGTCATTTTTTTAGGTAATATTAAGTTATTAATGTGTCAAAATATCTATTCACTTCTCTCAATAAATCTACAAATTTGATTAATTGTTTAAAATGATAAATAGAAATGTAATCTTCATATATAACACATTTTTTATGTTAAAAAAAATTACAAGTTTATTAGGAAATTTTTTGAATGACGTTAAAAATTTTATTAGATTATTTAAAAAATTAATTGATAGAGACGAAAAAGTAACAATAAGAAAAAAATTTCTAAAAATGATCGAATTTCTTTTATGTATAAAAAATGTTCAGATGTGAAAATATTAAGATGAAAAATTAGTTGGCCTCAATTTGTATTGCTATGATTGAAATGTATTTTTTGGGGATATGATAAATGTTCCATTGATGTATAGATTAAAAACCAAAATTATTGGAGCTCATAAATCAAACATAATTTTAGTTTGAGTGGTTATTTTACATATAAAGGACTTATTTGATGATAACTATATTCAATATAATTAAATCGTGTAATTAGTTGAATCTTTTTTTTATTGTTCAATATTCAATTGATTTAATGAATTTTCTTATCTACGTATAATATTATTTTATGGAAAATACTGTGATTGAAAATAAAAGAGAGAAAAATGAGCAAAAAAATTTAATGGAACCAAAACACAAGTTGAGCTACAGTATAATATTTTGTCACTTAAATGAGGTTGAGATTTTTATTTAATCACCCAATTTTGATAGATTTGAATTAAATCCTCCAAAATTTATATATATCTAAAATATTCAATATCGTCAAATAAATTAATCGACATCTTTTTTACTGAATATTAATTTTTTTCAACATTATGTTAAGTTTTACTTTGATTTATCACAACTACTTTTAGAAAATAAACAATGTACACGATTTAATATACTCTGCGTCACATTGTATAAGGGTCAAATAGATTTATATAAAAAATATATCAATCATCAAGGAAAGAAGGAAATTATATTGATAAAATTGTCACGAAAAAATAATAAATAATAATAAAATAATTAATTTTTTTAAAGAAAAAAGGACGAGTTATACGCATTTTTTAACACACACTTGATATACGTTTAACTATTTTCGATATTCATTTAGATCATTCGATGTATCTATTATATAATTATTGAAATAAATTTCGAGAGAATATAGAATATTTATAAAAATTTATGATAGATTTTTATTTAAAAAAAATATAAATCACCTAATGAAAAAAAAAATAAAAAAATAATTTGACACTGAACATCATATATAAAAAAATTTAAAAAAAAAGAAAGAAAAGAAAAAAAAGTTGCCTAACGGAGCAATTTTGCTCCTGGCATCCAGGAGTAACTCCTAGAGGCCAGGAGCAAATATGCACGCGCATCACGGAGCATTTGCTTCGTGATGCGCAGAATTGCACTATTTTTTTGTCAATTTTTTTTCACTTAGTGATTTATTTATTTATTTATTTTTATAAAAATATACCATAAATGTTCTATATTCTCTCGAAACTCATTTCGAGAACTATATCATAAACATATCGAATGATCTAAATGAATATCGAAAATAGTTAAACGTATATCAAACGTGTGTGTTAAAAATGCATATAACTCGTCTTTCTTCTTAAAAAAATTAATTATTTTATTAATGTTTATTATTTTTTCATGACAATAATTTTTAACGTCATTTAAAAAATTTCCTAATAAACTTTTAAATTTTTTTAGTGTCAAAAGTGACATCATTTAAAAAATTAAAAATTTCGATAACATGCTAACTTTATAAATTCATCGACGATTGTACGGTAGTCGAATGCATAAATCTTCTTTATTCTCTCGAAATTCATTTCGAGAACTATGTCATAGACGTATTGAATGATCTAAATGAATATCAAAAATAGTTAAACGTACATCAAACGTATATTTTAAAAAATACGTATAACTCGTATTTCTTCTTTAAAAAAATCAATTATTTATTAATATTTATTATTTTTTCGCAACAATTTTTATAATAAAAATATTATGTGATATAAAACACAAGATCAATTATCCAAGGAAAAAAATTGTTGTACCTGATTACAAGTGAATGACTCATCGGTATGCATGTAAGAGTCAAATGGGTAATAATGAAATGCTTCCTGAACGAATAGTAACTAGCATGATAAAAAATTCCTACAATTCGCTGCCATAATTTTTGTCTCACTCTCTCATGATGCACGAGAGTATTTTTTTTGAAAAGGACAGCTACAGTAACTTACTTGTGTAAGTCAAAAATGGAGGCAATAAAGTGGTCTAATTAATTTCCTGGAAGCTACAGCATCTAACGAAGTGAAAGAATATTTTTTAAGTGAAGCTACAGTAACCGTCAGCAAATGATTCTATAAAGTCAATAAAGACAGCAATAATGCTGCCATATTTCATTATTATTTTCAGAAAAAACTATTTTTTTGTGATGTATAGTGCATAACGAGTTCAACTACAGTACTAGTTAAGTGTGAAATCGCTGCCTCAAGTTGAGCAGTAAATATTGGATCATCTCTTTTAAAATAAAGGGGATTATACGTAATAGCTAGCTTGTCATCCTATTCTTGGAAGGAAAATAATTTATTCAATTTTCTTTCCAAATATTCAAAGATCTGATGAAATGTTAGTTAAGATGGCCTTCGATAAGATAAAAGAAATTAAAGTTAGGATCCGTTTGATTACAAAGATGGAATTTGGATGGAAAAAAACGAATTCCAGGAAATTGAATTACCTATAAATTATTTTCCTGAGAATTATAAATTATTATGTTTGATTGATT